ATATTATATTATATTTCTGACAACCTAAATGTTACACACTGGACCTTTATTTGGCCAAGATATGCATAAGAGAATTCTCTCAGACAGAGCAAATAATCTGTGCATTCATGGCTTATTTGAGATTATTATCTGAAGAGCTCATCGCCAACATCTCACTGCACAACAAATCAAATGCATGGTAATGTTCCACCTGGAGGGAATTCCAAGGGAAACAAAAGAGCTGTTATGATTAAACGCCTTTTGCCACTATGGAAACAGCATCCTCAAGAGATTGAGAGTCCACCCTGGTGGCAGTCAGTAACTTGCGTAACTTTCTACGAAAGTTTTATCCAAACTGCCTCCAGCACTTACCACACACTTTCATAATCACTGCCACAAGTTATCTCTTGCTCTGAGTTGGATACATAACCTTGCTGGTGCTGTATTTATAATACCACACCATTTATTCCAGGAAAAATGAAAGATTTTTTCTTTAAGTTTCCAGGTATGAATGTAAGAATGCAGCCAGCCAAAGACTGCTTGGAGAGTTTCCAGGAAGAATATTTATCTGATCTCTGTTTAGGGCTGATGTAATGAAGACTGTAAAATTACAAAATCTTATGTCATCTATCCAACTTTTATTCTCTATGATTTAGATTTTATAGTAGTGTTTTGTGTGCTCTTCTCATTAACTCTCATATTCATTCAGATTTTTTTATGTAAATACTCTCCTAAAAACAAACAGATTTGTTTACAATTTCAATGTATCCATCATGAGAAGAATATTCTTAGAATAACGCCCACACCAAATTAAATTACATTGTACTTGGCAGCACCAGGTCCACACCAAAACATGTGTAGCCTGGGTCCACCCACTTGGTGATCAGGCCTGCCCAATCATGGCTTTTTTTCCACCAAAGTATCTCTGGTTCTTGAACCAGTTCCGCTATAAATTCTTGGAACCTTGGTGCTGTCAAGTCAACCAGCCTACATTTCCACTGGAACCATTGTATGGATCATAAGCAGAGGGCGTTGCACAATGCACAACAACCTGTAGATGCAACACGCCCACTTTGGTTCCTAAGAAAAAAAACTTTTCAAGTTCCAAACCAACTTATTTTAGGTCAAAAAGCTCCTAACAGTTCAAAACTTGATGCATGAACTGGAATGGAGCCGGATCCCTGGAAAAGGCCTATCAGAGAATCAGGTCAAATCTGAATGAATGAATACCATTCAATCATTGTGTTTTGGGTCTTGTTTATGAATGGTAGCAGCAACTTTTTTTTTTAAACTGTCAGGCTCTCATCTGTCCGGCTCTCATCTGTCCATGATCCTCCTCTATTACTCAGTGTAAAGCAGTTCACTGCTCAGAGAAGAGCCTGTCAATCTGGCTGCTTTTAGTTCACCTCAAGTTTAAATAACAGCAAAAAAAAGTTTGGTGCTTGACAATGATGTGAGAAATAAAAAAAGTTTAAATCTGTGCAGTGGCCCACACTATTTTTCCATCAGATGGTAAAATATACAGATAAAGTTGATACTTAAGCCCCAAATCAACCTCCCCGACCTTAATCTCTATAAACAGATATCTGCATATGAATGCAGAATCGGTAGGCAAGATTTTGAAATCAGGAGCTCTCAGGTTTCTGTGTCTCTATATCCGTTATATCCCGAAATACTGGTCGTTGACCCCAGAGGCTGACGGGTTCTGAGATTTCCCTTACCTAAATGGACTAAAACTCCAAGCTCAGTGCAACAAGAGGATCCTGATGGATCCTGACCTGTCTGAGTGAGCAGCACTGTGGAGAACAAGTGGAGCAATGGCAGAAAGTCAGTGGAACTCCTTCAGGTAACGCCTGCATCCACCAAGGACACTGAACCTTTAACATATATGGTCTGTTAGTAGCTTGTACAGCCATAAGGCTTAAGCGGTAGTTAAAAATCCCTAGACCTAAAATAAAGCACATTCTACCAGTACTACAACAAACAAGCCAAAAACTGGCTGTAGATAGGGGTGTTTTCTGTGCATTCCACCCTAGGTTCTCTTACGCACTTCAGGCTTCAAATTGTTGTAATGTGCAACTTCACCATTAGACGCCACTGAATCCTACACACTGACCCTCCACTGGCTTAACATTACACTCCTATAATATTGTCAGATTCACAATGAACAGTATACCAACTAGACAAAATTGATGCAGCAGAACCAGAGATTGTTTTATTTTTTATTCCATGCTTTCTCCTTTGTTGTCAAAGCCTGGAAGATTTTTTTCAAACTTGTAGTCTTCAGCAACAACTGACGCTGACTCAAGTGATATCACTTCACACAGATCCCTCTGGAACCACAAAAGGCTTTGTACAAGCTTTTTCACATATTTAGTAGTACTTCCAATGAGGTTGGTTTCCGTTAACTCCCCTTCCATAAAAAACAAAAAGGTGAAAAATAAAGGTTTGAGAAACAGACTTCACTGACGCATACCGATACCTGGGCAGTGCCTGGGCATGCCTCAGCTGCCTTTGTTTATAGGTGACGAAAGTCTGAAAAGAAAGGAAGGAAAGACGGAGAAACACTGACAGAAAGACAGGACAGTGAGTAAAAAAGAGAGAAAGACTATCCTATCCTAACCTCATGGAGGTAAATCACAAAGAAAACAGCCAAACCTCTCAACCAAAATATCTTCCCCTGATACTAATTACTGGTTTCTCACGCACATACTTAACTACACAGAAAGACTCTTCTGAGTAAACATTAAAGCACACAGGCTGAATGAGAGGGGTAGAGTCCACACTAACAGCCACGTGAGTCTGGATATATGCCTCCACCTAACAGGCAAATTTGAGCCAAAACTCACCACTGCCAACAATGACATAAACAGCTGAACAAACAGAATGCACACACCCCAAAACTGACAACACACTATGTGAGTGTCTGAAACAGCAGCAAGATTTCACAAATGTGCTCAAAGTTGTCCTTCAGAAGCACTCCTGTCAAATAAGGAAATGAAGAAAACACCTTTTTTAACCCTTCTATCACAAGTTAGGTATGCTAACAGCTGGCAGACAGATACAGCAGAGTTCCGGTCCTGTACGTTACCATGTGGTTGACAGTATCTGCTGAACATTGGAGCCCCCACTCTCATAATCCAGGTACTTTTATAGAATAATCAGTGAGTACAGCGGGCTGCTGGGAAACACACTGACAGAGAGCCAACAAATCTTCCTGGTGCTGTTATCACACTCCCTGTTTTTCTCCTCCCTCCTTCTTATATTTCCGTCCCCTTTCTCTCCCTTTCTCTTTCTCTCTCTCTCTCTCTCTCTGGCTTTCCAGATAGTCAGTCTGTCTTCCTGATATGCCAACGATGTGCATCAGCGACCAGTGGCAAATGTCCGTTGGGTGCGTAACTCCCTCTGGGCAGAATCAGTTTCATTTTCATTTAGAGTGGAAATTATTCTAATTATGTCTCAGTTTGTTTTATGAGCTGACTTCTAAATCATTGTGGAGGTGGTGTCCAGAAAACG